ACCATGTGCTCTTGACTTTCTTACTCTTACAATGTCTTGCAGCGGTTCATTCAATGACTAAAGTCAGGACTGATACTAAACCATCCAAGTGTTTCAAAAGTACTGCTGCCACCCCACAAATCTCTTTAATCACATAAAAAAATGTGATTAAAAATTATTATAGAAAATGAACCACAGCTAAAGGTCTGTTTTAGATCACAAGAAAAATGTACATTCATCTACAAAAGTAAAACACAATTAAGATCTCCATCCCTGAACAGAAAGAAATAATCATCCATATTTTATTGAAAAGCACATTTTAAAAAGAATAAAAACGATTTTTCCAAAAATAAATTCTGGTTGCCTTTTTTCAGTCAATTCACAAAACGCTAAGTGAGCTAACTGAAGAACAATCAAAATCTGATTGATATTTGTTATAGCTACCTTTTACAGTTGAAATATAACTAATGCATCTAAGTACACATAAACAGTTTTGCAAGATTATAATCAGGTGTAATTAACCAATTTTACAACAGATGATATTGAAAAAATACACAATTTTAAAATAGGTGTAAATCCCAGAGGCCCTGTACATGTGCTCCTGTCAGAAGGTAGGCTGAGGCATTCTGAAAAACTGGCAGACTTAAAAATTAGCATTACAGTAATTCAGCAAGATGTTATGAAAGCAAGAATTACTGCCTCAAAGCCATGAAAGAGAATGTAGGCCTTAACCTTCATAAGTAGATCTAGTGTGAAAAAGCTCATCTTGACAAAAAGAGATAATCAAATTTAAAGGCACAATCTAGAGATTACACCGAGGTTGCTAACAGTTGGTGACAGATAAAAACTGAATGAACAAATTGCACAAAAAATGTGTGAGTTTCCTCTGGAGTACCTGGAGAAAACCCACACATGTAAACTCCACCCAGAATGTCTCCAGGCCAGGAGGCGATCCTGCAATGATCCTGCTGAGAGGCGACAGCTTTAACGCTGCGCTGCTGTGCCGCCATTTGAGACAAAAACATGTGAGACACAAACGTCCAGGTCACTGTTAGACTGGTTGAACTGTAACACCATTTGTTTTATCTAAACAGGACACAATTTTTTACAAGGACATGAATTAGCAGATTTTACTGGACCATATGTGAATCATTTTATCTTATTTGTATAACTTCAGACAGCAAATGCATTTTCTTCAATTGTCTGTGGATAAGAAAAAAAATTGCAGGACACAGTGTGGAAAACATCATTTGCCTGTACATTTGCTGACATAATTATAGAAAATGTCTTTGGACTGCTATTTTTTATGTTTTATTCTTGCCACTGTCAATATTCACATTTTCTAACGGGTCGACATAACCATAGTTTAGGTTGTCCGAGACAACATTTTTCGTTACCAGATCCCGTCTCCCGGTTGTCCAGTGGACAAGCAAGAAAAAAAGACCTACATAAAAGTTTTCCGCCGCATGAGTTCATCATTGTAGAAATGAACGGGAGGAAAAAAAACTTGTTAAAACCATCTAGGAAATAAACAGACAGTTCTTTCACCCAATAAAGAGAACCACAGTCAAAGTTTTACCCAATCAGAACATAGCAGTGCAGGTTGTGCCATCTGACTGACAGCGATGCCTTTTTTCTTCTTTTTTTTGTTCTGTGGGTGTGTGTGTGTGTG